ATATATATATATATATATATATATATATATATATATATATATATATACCTTCACATAATCTTCACCTCTCAGTTAGCTGCACTAACCTGTATGTACGACCCACAGCCTTCTTTAATGTAAATCTAAGGACATAATGATCTGGACTTAACTCAATTTGGAAACTTGAGTGACTCCAGTTGAACCAGCGATAAATGTTCAGTGAAAACGACGTTCATCAAAATCGTTTTAACTTTACCTTCTCGTGTCATAAACCTTTATCGACTAGCTTTGCGCTTCTACTCTTTTTAAATGTTAAACCACCTGAGCCATTTAACCTCAGACTTTTTTAGCTTTATCAAATAACAAAGTTCCGTGAACGACTTTAGTGACTTTAAAAGCTCGACATAGTTTACCTGTGGTTTTGACATCTTTGACAGCTTCAGAGATTTGTTAACCTCCTCTCATCGTGAAGATTAATTTTAATCACGTGATTAAAAGCAATTTCAAATACTTTATAAAACTGCCCTTCACCTTTCGAAGCAATGCGATTGTTTACTTCCGGGTTTCTGACGTCAGTTTCCACGCCCATTTTCGGGCTCCCTGTTCTCCCATCTGCTCAACTTTGAGATGTGAAATTCACAAGCTGATCCCCTGACATCCTTCAGGCAGTCAGGCATTATGATATAAAACATTGAGCTCATGTTTAAAATGTATGACTTGTGGTTAATTCATGGCGGCTCCTTATGTAACGTTCAGGTCTTCAGCAGACTCCTGCTGCAATCTCCACCACCAGCTTTTGTCAGGCATGAGAAGATTACATCTCTAAAACTATTAACTCTAGGTTTGAGGTTTTTCTGATTCACGGCCTGCACTATCAATCAAAAAACTGAAATTAGAAATAATGCTTATTACTTGACTTGAAACGTGGAACAGGAACATGCAGACATGTTCCTGTTTTACATTGCTTTATAATGTAGCAGTTTTTGTGTTGTTTAAAAAAAAATCTAATTTCTTTTATTGACTTTTCATTTTATATGCTTTTATGATTGTCTATTGTTGTCTGTACCTCATTTGTGTTCTTTGTTTAAAACAGGTTTCACTTGTGAGTCCTCGCAACTCAACTCAGCTAACCTGTATAAATAAAGGTTGAATGAACTTGTATGTTGAACATAAAAACAATCCAGTTGTGCACATGCTATCATGTTTCACTCTGGGATACTGAACAAAATCTAGTGTAATTAGGAATAAGTGAACACAAAAACGGTTGTTTTCCAATTTTTATTGTTTCATTTTCTCAGTAATTGTTACCAGCCACAAAATTATGAATTGATATCCACATTTGCTTCAGGTGTGACGAGCGTTGTGGCAAAACTGGCTCACAGACCTGCCAGCCTCATCTGCAGCCCACCTGCTGTTGCTCTGTTTCAGTTAGACGCCATGAAAAAGCCTGGAGTATTTCAAATGCATTCAAATGAATTAAAATCAATCAACCTTCCCCCGTATTCTGAGCAACACTGTCCAATTTAAAAAGAAAGACAAACACAAACTGGAACCATGTCCATTTGTCAAAACATTTATTCCAAATACCACAAAAACACAACACGCAGAAACATATTTTAGGAGTTTTTGCATAATTCTGACTAAAAAATACCATTAAATCCACCTCATGTAGAAAAGCTCCAGTGAGTTCTTTTAGAGAGCTTCCATATCCATTTCCTAGCCAAAACTATTCAAAAAGAACTCATTTTGTCATCTGATGTGCGAGTGAATGATCACATTCCTGGAATAAAGGCGAGCGTTCGATTTAATAAGTTTCCCCAAAACCTTAGAATGACAAAGTACACATGGCAACACAAAGATGCCAATAGTTTCCAAGAACAAAAACACAGAAAGAGTTTGTATGAATGGGCAATCTGCTTTTGAGCAATAAGCTTGGCTTAAGAAAAAAAAAGTCTCGAAGCAGTTCATTTACTGGTAATGTGGTTTATTATTTCTGATTCTAATGAACTTCAAGTTAGTTCATAGTATTTTCCTGTTTTAGGATCAAAATAGCAGTTGAGGCAAGGATCATAGAGCAGTTTCAAATATTCATCTTCATTCTCCTCTTCTTTCACCAGCCCATCCTTTCCTGTATTAAAGGCAAAAAAAAAACAAAAAAAAAACCACTCTGAAACCTTTTATGTTCAAAATATAAAAATGAAACAAGATTGCACAGATAAAAAGATGAATGTATGATTTATTCTACTTTTTATTTTTTATTATAGACAAAATTTGCCATGCCAGAAAACCCTACTCTGTCGGCTTTAAATAAAATGGAATTAGAAGCTTGGTGGTTAGGTGACCTTCAGACTCATGTGGATTTAAAAGTTTTCTGCCACTGCCATTTTTTCCCTAATCAATCAAGCCCTAAGACACCCAGACACAGTACCAAATTATGAAACTGTAAAGAGATTCCTGTAATCCCTCACTACCTTAAAGCACATGAATCGAGCTGTTAAATTGACAGGCAGTTAAATGCTACTAAAGGTTATGGAATGCATCGGGATGAGAGCTTGTACCTGAAACTTGGGCAACAATAATGAAAACTAATTATATGACACATGAAGTGAAGGGTTTAAAAATGATGTAGTAAACTAGAAAAGTCTCATCATTTAACCTTGAGGATGTGTCTGGTGGTGGTGGTGGTGGTGAGTATAGACACAGACCTGTAATGAGTCTGTCTCATCTGACCTATGTGGAGGACAAACATCTCCACTCTCGTGGTGTTTTTTTTTTTTTTTTTTTAAGCTCTAATTAGATACACTCTCACTTGCTGCCTCACCACACTTTGCGGCGCATCCTTGGCGGAAATGTAACATCTCTAAAAGCTTTGTCACCAGCGACTGTTTCCATTAGCTTTTGTGTAACTAGTGTTAAAGCATGGGTCTGTTTGCTGTCTTACTAACTCCCAAGGACATAAAAGGCGGTCCGGGGGTAAAAGGACTGTAATGAAGGTTACCATACCTCTGACTAGTCTTTCCAAATTGTTCTGTGTGTAGGCTGACCTTCTCTGCTGGCTGGGAGGCATAATAGGAGGGCTGAGCACGTCCATCCACTCTCTAGGGAAAAGACCATAAAGCCAGACAGTCATGACAACACATACCATTACACTCACCATCTTAGCCTATGACATTTTAACAATGGAGTCCCATCATCATGCACTCTCAGAAGCCCATCTATGATTCCATTGTCCTTGAGCCACTTCTCCCAAAGCCTCACAGATTTACCTGAAGGATCACTTATTAAATTCTGACTCCAGCTGTGGCTTTCAAGTATCCACATTGAGGCACAGAGTAGGGGTCTTAACCTTGCCTGTTTCTGCGGGGAGCATGACTTCATTTCTCCCCAAATGAGTGTATCCTCTCTGCCTGCAATGCACGCCGTGGTATGACTATACATCTGCCACTTTTCCCCTAAATGAAAAACACTGCTCTTGTAGCATGGTGTAAATGATTGCAGCCAGAGAGGGAAATATCTCAAGATGAATTATTACTTGGGAGCAGTGAAAGATTCATTTGTTAAAAGGCATTCATAATCATTCTTGGCTATACATCAGTTGTGCAATCACCCATTAACATCTTATGCCTCTGGATAAGAGCAAACCAGAGCGTATTAAATGTAGAATTACAGCATAATCGACTGTACAATATTTGCCTCGCAGCAGGGAAGTCAAATGTTCATCTCTGGTTGGTCTGTCTCACCAAACAGAATTGAAATGATCACTAATGTTATTCCCTCTGAAAACAGCATTTCATTTAAAAAGCAAAAGGTTCATATTGCGTGTACGGCTTCTATTTACAACATCCAGGTCAAAAGACTGTAAATTTGGTACCACTGTAGAAATTTAAATACGTTTATTCTTAAAGTTAAAGTAGCTTTGCACCAAATCCACACAGATTATATTGATTATTAACACAAAATGTACATATCTACACAAAAATGTTAAATAACAAAAAATAAAGAGGTACATTAATGAATATAAATAACATGCCTATAATAAACTTACAAAATATGCATTGTTTTATTTACTGATTTCATGTATTTAATGGTGATTTTTTTTTTCCCCTTCCTTTTTTGGTTTTACACCCTTTATATGTTAGACGGCACATTATCTCCACCGAGGCTTTGATTTTTCCTGCTAACAAAAGCATTTACCGCACTCCAAAAAATCCCTCTCTCTGTTTGATAGGCAGGGACATTGTACAAAAGTTAATGGAAGCAATTTTAAAGGACAAGAGACCCTGTTACTGAGGTGTAAATTGGACTTCAAAATGTTAAGTGGGACTTGGCAAGAGTGATTAAATTCTTGGATTTTAAAAAATTATTACAATCCAAATACAGACCCGGTATAAAGAAAGTATTTCAGCTTCATTTACCATGCACAGATACACTGCCTTTGTAAAGCAATTTCTTATATTGAAAAAGTTTTATTTTTTCAAACAGCTTACAGAAAGAAAATCCAAACTGTGTTTGTTTTACACCTTAGCAATGTTGCTATAGTTCACAATAGCATGTTGTGTAAGACCACTTTTTATGATACAGCCAGTCTGACACAGAGGTGTTTTTGTACGACCCAAAGTCCGACACAATTGTTGCTGTCCACTATATCGTATTATTTTACATTATTAGTGCTTATCATATATCTTAGATCTTTCAACGTATTGTTTAGCGTATTTCTTAGTTATATCTTAGCTCTTTATATACTGCGTATTTTTATACTTTATATTTTTTCTATTTTTGGATGTAACTGGGACCTTTAGTACGCAATGTCGTTCCACCTCATGTACCACATGTGATGCGAATGACAATAAAGAAACTTGAACTTGAATTACCAAGCCCATGTCAAAATGCTATGCTGCTACAGAGGATACACCACATGTTAAACTGTTTTAAAAGCCATGGCAACATTAGGCACAGAAACTATTTTGTGCATTTTAGTTGTCAAGGAAGCTGTGGCTCTGGACAAAGAGAAAGCTTTGCAGCGGTGCCAGGATGCTCCAAAAGCCCACAGTGATAGCATTCACTGTAAGGGTTTCTGATGAAAGAAGAAAACAACAACAAATCCTGTGCAGCTGCTGTTTAATATGTAAATCAAGCCATGTCCCTAAGTCTAATTTCAGTATTACAGCTGTGGAAGCTGCAGAGCTGCTTGCTTGAGGTGGTAGTCAATAATATTCATTTCAGTGGACGTTCAATCCAAGAACATCCTTTTACTGCACGGGCAATCTGATGGTTATGTTAGTCAAGCACAACAAAAAGTAAACATCTATCCTGCTGTTGATTGGATTTTTCTACATCAGTTCTAAGCGGTTCTAAGACAAACACTGTTTAAACCCGTGCTAGTCAACACATGTTCTCAAAGGGGTGCCGTGCTTTTCATCAATAAATCACAAGTGTTGAGAAGGAGGCGGCTGCATAATTAAGAGAAGCGGATCTGTGATGCAATCTCTTTGTCTTCCTTTGTAATACACCACATGGATGTGTACGCCCGTAAAGAGACGGACAAGCACAGAGGTGCGTCTGTGCATTAGCAGGCTGCGAGGCGATGTAATGTCTCCAGAAGCCTCCAAGGACAACTGAATCCATTCATACACCGCCACAGCAGGGCGCTGAGATGGATAAACAGTACACGGCGGTACAGCCTCTAGACAGGTGCAGGGATTCAGTCAAAGTCTGTACTGTCACATGATAGATAGTTTTTATTTATTATTCTCTATTATAAATATTTCTATTGAAGAAAGTGATGAAGGTTTTAGAGCAGTGTTTGAAGCCGTTTCAAAAGATGCTCGAGTCTATGAGCTGACTTTCCTCTAAGGACAAATATAAAAACAAATTTGGCTTTCATGAACATTATATGCTTTTATTTCATCTTTTCTTGAATTCTACAAATCTCAAACACAAGCTACATGGCTGGTAAAAGAAAAAAAAGTTGTTTTTTTCTTTTACCAATACAAAAATCTTATTATATTTTAACCCAACCTTGTCATTAACGTCTATTAGGTGCTTTTGTGGTTAAAAGGTGAATTCTGCTTAACTCGGTGCTTGCATGAAGTTAGTGTCAGCCAAAGCACTTGAAATTATTGTCTCTCCTCCAGCATAAAATAATCTACTTAACTTTTTTCTTTTTTCTTGAGGTTAGAAGTTTAGTTGGCGTTAACCTGCAGGGAAGAATAACAACCTGTCTTTTGGCTGCTAGCCTTTGAAACCCACATCATTTTTTTCCTGTGTGTAGAAATTAACAGGTAAATTACTTGTATTTTTATTTATAAACCTTAAGTCTAACTTCTGCCATGACTTTTGCAGCGAATATTAAATCATTTCCAGAGATAAGCGTAATAAGCAGTAAAAAAAAAAAATGTCATCGTGAAAATGACAACAGCCGTTGTGGGAGAAGAAAAGCTCGGCACCTGACACACTCAAAGTTTATTTGTACCCATCTGAGAGCAAGATAAGCCCCAGTCTACGCATTCATCTGACAGCTGACATTTAGTGTAAACACTGCAGCCCCTCGTTACCATCTAGTTAGGAATTTCTATCTCACTGAATATTTTTGGGATATAAAACCTAATCCAAACACAAACTAAACTTTTTTTTAAGTCAAATATCAGTGATGCTTGCAGTTTGTTCAACGTTTACCTTATTCATTAAACTAATATCTAAAAGAGTAAGCTAACATGCCAGTTAAAGGGAACTAATGTCTATACCAGGGCTATTCAACTGGCGTCTCAGGGACCAAATCAGGCTCACGGATAAACTCGGTTCAGCCCACCAGTGGATTCATTTAAAATAAAACTAGATTTTAAACCATAAAACAAACTTACTTAATGACAATAACTTCTGGATGAGCCCCTGAGCTCTTGGCTTTCAGTAACTGTGCCCCCCTAAAAAATGTAGTTGAATAGCCCTGGTCTATACAGCCAGACACAAGGACATCCAAAACAGAAAGAAATGTAAAAAAACTATTGCTAGTAAACATTTTATTCTAAATATACATATTTTAAGCTGATTTATGGTGTGATGGATGCTTTTTTATTACCTTGGGTTTGACTGAAGCAAAGGGTTCATTTCCTTTTGATAGTGAAACCCCTGATTTGCTGGCTAGATGGGGACAGAAAAGTCACAAGATGTTTTCAAATGTCACCAACACTCAACCTCAACACATTTCGATACATTTTAATAATTATTTATTCATATTCATAGTATTGAAAAGACTACTAAGAATGTGATTATGACACAAAGAGAGCTAGAAAAAAAAAGATGTGCACTTACCTCATGTCAAGACTGAAATCATTTTTTATGCTAAGAATGACTAATGAAGGTCATTACTTGTCAAATGTTGATGCCTCCAAACACAAAAGTGCCAGTTTTTGACAAGCAATTGTCACGAGGCATTTAGCCACTCATGTGCACACACAAAAAGAATCTTTGCAAAATTCAAATGCAATTTCAGAACCCTTAGAGTGAATAAGGAGGCTGCACAGTGGTGTGGTGGTCTGCACTGTCGCCTCACAGCAAGGTTTCAGGTTAAAATCTGAGTTCACTAAGGTCTTTCTGTGTGGTGTTTGCATGCTTCGCCTGTGCATGTGTGGATTTCCTCTGGGTACTCCAGTTTTCTGCCTTTTATAGCAATATTGAGAAAATTCTGGTGAAACTGACTGCCTGAAGTCAGGATCTAATGAACATCCCAGAAGAATGGGTTTCCTCTTCTGTGATGCTTTGCCAGGCTTTACTGCAGCTGTCTGGAGCTGTTTATTGTTTGTGGGTCTTTTTGTCTTTAGTCTTCAGCAAGTAAAAATACAGCTCAATATGGCTGAGACCAAATGATTGATTTGCCTCTTTTTTTTTTTTTTGCTTTAAAATACCTTATGAGATTCTTCTGCAATATGTTTTGGACCACTGTCCATCTGCTCCATGAAGCGGCGTTATTCAATTTGGCTGAACCTGAGCAGACAGTATATCTCTATACACTTAATAACTCATCCGACTGCTTCGGCCTATCACATCATCAATACACACTTGTGACCCAGTGCCAGTGGAAGCCATGCATGTCCCAGCTATCACACCATCTCCACATGTTCCACAGATGATGTATGGTCTCCAAGCCTTCTTCACCCCATTTTGTACACATCAGACTGGCTCTGTTTAGTTTGGGGTTTATTTGTTCAGACATGTTATTTTAAAACTACTCGGTCCTTTAAAAACTGTTCTTTACGTGTGTGAATGCTGCATTCACACCCTTTGTTTATGTGTCTGTACAATTTATTTGTTTGTTTGTTTAATTTGCAGTCTAGCTATTTTTTTTTTTTTTCATTTAGCCTTTATTTATCCAGGTTAGTCTCATTGAGCCACGAGAACTCATTTTCAAGAGAGACCTGTTTAGGGAGCACATGGTGGGGTTAAGGGCCTTGCTCATGGGCCCAGAGTGGGGCGAATGAGGGTGGGGGCAAGTGTGGGTGTTTCACCTACCCCACCCACAATTTTTGATGTTGTCGGGGCCGGGGCGTGAACCGGCGACCTTCGGATCACAAGCCCACCTCTCTAACCTCTGCGCCACCACTCCCAAGCTATGTTGGTATACTTTGTGCTAGTTTAGCTGTCCATATATCAAAACATTCAGCTTGTTCAGTGCTATGATTTTTGAATTTCGTAAGTTTTATACTTTTCAAAATATTTCACTTTACACACAAATATTTACCCCATAGTAGATTTGCGATTTCTGACCCGAGCCCATGTCCAGGCCAAAATTATGTGCTTGATGGGCGGGCCGGGTCGGTCTTGGGCTTTTGATGCGGTTTTACGAATCATACAGTACAAAGAAAACTAAACGAGAAAGCACAATATAAAATTGTGTTAATCTACTTGTAGAGGAGGAGGCAGTAAGTTTACTATGTTGAGGATGAGGAAAGAAAGAAAATAAAGTGTAGTTGCAGCAGTTAATCAGACTGAAAAAGGAGAGTAGCGCTGGCGTATTGCGCAACAATTGTGCATGTGGCCCCACCCACCCTGCTTTGCTCTTATGATACATCTGACGATTTGCACTTGACCCACAACAAGCGACGTAAAGGAGCAGTAAAGTATAAAAGAAAAGCTAAAAACGGGAGAACGCACTCTACAAAGCCAGCACAGTGCAAAATCTGAGATCAGTGTTATTTCGCAGGTTCATAGCTGAAGAAGCGAGGTTGTGTGGCTGATATGACTGCCTACGACCCGCAACAACAGCTTTATGTAGCCTATGCATGTTTTATTTTGTTTTTGAAAATTTTTATTGTTCTTTATCACTCCCATTATTGTTGCAATTCAAGATTGCGTAATATATTAGTTTCCCTTAGGCTACTGTTATTCTTTATCTATGTCTGTTGTTATAGATATTTTGTTTATTAAAGTATTAGCATAAGCATTGTTGTAGAATCTAGGCCTTTTCAATTTATTTTTCATGCACACCAGTTTTATTCTGTGGTGTAGTGTGGGTGTAGGTTAAATTGCTCCGTCATCAGCGACAGCGTGCTCAGGTTAATTTTGCATGACTTTCTTTTAGTCTAAATTAAAATAGCCTTATTCTATCCATCCATCCATCCATTATCTTTACCCGCTTATTCCATTTTGGGTCAAGGGGGTCGCCGGTGCCCATGTCCATCAATCACTGTGCGAGGGGCGGGGTACACCCTGGACGGGTCGCAAGTCCATCACAAGGACACATAGAGACAAACGAGACAAACAACCATTTACTCTCTCACTCACACCTAGGGACAATTTAGAGTTACCAATCAGCCTAACATGCATGTTTTTGGTCTGTGGGAGGAAACCGTAGCACCCGGAGAAAACCCACGCATGCACGGAGAGAACATGCAAACTCCACCCAGAAAGGCCCCTGGACCGGGGTTTGAACCAAGGACCTGCTCCCTGAGAGGCAGCAGCTCTACCAGTTGCGCCGCCGTGCTGCCCGCCTTGTTCTATATTTTTCCAAATAATTCTGCACTAAAATTTTTTTTTGTTCATCTGTATAATAGTCTATCTTTAGAGTTGATTTTTTTAGGCTATTTGTTTTTTATGTTAATATCCATTTGGTGACTTGTTAATAAACAAGAAATCGTATATCATCCTTTCTTTGAAATACATTTTTTTAAACTATCATGAACCCGGCCATGGCCGACTTGACCCGGGTACGCATGTTGTTGTTGGCGCGTCACAGCTGGTTGTTTAGCCGGCTGGTGAGCCGTGCTGCGGCTGCCTTTCCCTGGATTCCAGCCCAGCTCGCCTCGGCCGTGGCGCGGGCTGCTTGAAGGAGGGCTGGATGGAAGTGAGGAAAAGCGGCAGAGGATGAAGGTACCACCTCGGTCTGTTAGGATTTCATTGACTCGTAGCTGCTTTTAATTTTAAGCTTGATTAAAATAACGTGTCGGGTTTACTTTGGGTTCGGGTCTCTAAATAGAATTAATTAGTCAGGTCGGATCGGTTCGGACAATGCCTAATGGGCTTGGGCCGGGCCAAATTTTTTTAGGCCCTACTGACGCTCTACCCCATAGTAATACTTTGAAATATGCTCAATCCCTTTGAAAATTTTATTTTTGCGTACTGTATTTGTTGTATTTTTATCTCTTTGCTACTTTTACTTTTTAGTTTCTTTGCTAGTCTTTTGCAGCTTTTAGCTACTGTTTTGCTACTTTTAGCTTTTAGTTAATTTTTTGATAGATTTATCTCATGGCTAGCCATTTATTACTTTTTGCCAGTCTTTTAGTGTTTTTAGCATCTAGCTCATCTTTTAAAACTTTTATCTAAAATATCTTGATGCATGCTCAATAATCCAGGTAGAAAAATCCCAAAAAAGTTAAATCTGGTCCTCTGGACGTTCAAAAAAACCAAATCAAAACAAACAAATTGTGGAAAAGTTTTGTCTTTCATCAGTGTGCTAATGATCCATTGTTAGGCTGATGGTCCTTCTTGATCATGTGAGCAGCTGGTTTTGGTTGTCAGCAGCAAAACTGGTTGATCCACTCTGAGAAGGTGATATTTATAAGACTGAGCTGAATACAGCACCTCAGACTGAGGAAGTCTTTCGGATGGAAGATGAAACGTTTCTACATTTTTTTTTTTTTTTTTTGAACGTCCAGTTTTTAACAACCATTTTGCTACCTTTGGCTTTTAGCTAGTATTTTCCTTCTTCGAAGTTTTAGCTAGTGTTCTTTTAGTAATCACTTCTGGATTTTAACTATAGTTTTGTTTTTTAAAGCTTGTTTGCTCCTTTTAGCTAGTGCTCTGCTTTTCTTTGCTTTAAAACCTCCGTGTCAGTTTGTCAGTAAATTTCAGTAGTCATTCAGCTCTCACTGCATTGTTGCAGAAAATGCAGTTTCTTTAGTTTAAGTTGAATATTTTCCCTTTCTCGAGGAAAGGTTTCGGAATGACTTGAGATGAACTGTCGGTGTTTGCTCTGATGAAGTTTAATGTGTTGATACTGATCTGTCAGTCAGCTCTACAGGGTGTTTTTCACTTAACAGGATTTAGTGAAGGGAGTTGCTTTACTGCTAAAATGATTCCTCTTCTTCCACCACAGCTGTTCTCAGTGGACGTCAAGGTCTTTTAATGTTACTGAGCTCAACAATGCATGTTCTTTTTTTTTTTCAGAGGATGCGCCAAGCTGTTATGGCCATTCCCAACATTTCTGGTGTCTCTCTATGGGATTTGACTTGTTTTTGCAGCTTAGGAATGACCTGTTTTTTTCTTGCACTTGCATGAGAGCTTGCTTGCCTGCATGTTGTATATTTACAGGAACAGCCTTCAAAAAAAAAAAAAAAAAAAACTGTAAGTGATGAATAAAAACAAAGAAACGATCCATTTCTGTCCATGAAACATTTTTTGAGTGAATAGTCCAGTACATTTGAGCAGATGAATAAATAATAAAAAATAAATAAACGCTTTAATTTCTCAGTACTCTAGAATGAAAACTGAGTCTAAGTATTAACATTATTTTTGAGTAAACAGCTATAAACAAACAAGCTGTGCCAGTGTTCAAAGACTTTCAAATCATCAGTAAAAACCTTTCACTGAGTAAAACAAGAAGCTCCAGAGCAAAATGAACACTTCCAGCCTCTCTGGTCCCTGAC